TATCCTCTGGTGCCTTGGATCCTTCTTCTTTCCCGACCAGAGGGCCTGTGGAGTCAACCTGTACTGGACCCAGCTCTTGCGCGACATCGATAAGATCAAGGAGTACAGCTGGGGGTCGGCGCTCCTGGCCGCAGTGTATAGAGCGCTGTGCACAAGCTACCAGACCGGGGAAGGCTGGATCAAGAGCTGTGTCTAATTGATTCTGGTACATTTATTTATTTGTTATTTCAAAAATTCATTTTTTTTCTAATTTAAACTAATATTTAATAACAAATGAATATGTCGATATCTTTAGGTTTGGGCATGGGAACGTATCCCTCGACTTCGCCTGAGAATGAGGGATATGAACTTTGAGAGAGTCATTGGTTGTCCTTTAGGTGGAAGGTAATGACATTTATTTATATATTTTATAGTTTGATTTTTTCAATTATCAAATTTTGTAATTACAAAGTTTTTTTTTCTTCGATTTTTAAGGTGGGTGAGACAGAAGGACACGAGACACATAGTCACTGGAACAGCCGCTGTCCAGGATCAACTGACAGGGCTAAGACAGACAGATGTAAGATTATTATTAAGTATTATTGATTGTTATTTATTTTTTGTTTTATGTGTTTTACCTTTTAATAACTTAATTCTTATTATTATTATTTTTTGTTTTTTTTTGTTTTTTACAGTTCGATAGATGCCGTATGAACAGCTCCTGAATGCTAATGCTCTCCCGGTCCAGTGTACAAAAAATTCAAGTCTCTGGATGTATAGGGGTTGGATGTTCTGTTGGAACATCCGTGAAACCCAAGAGCCGGATAGAGTCCTTCGTCAGTTCAGGTGTCATCAGTCCATCCCCGACACTCCGATCATTACGGGTGAGGTCGACTGGGAGACACACCACCGAGGCCAGGGAATGACCGGGAGGGTAGTATATTATTGGGTTGACTTTCATTCCCAACTTGGGAATGTTTGGGTCGAACAAAGACACCAAAATGTCCTCCCAGATGAGCGTGTGGAGTCACTCGTACAGCCTAGCGAGGGTTACCTTGATTGGTTTCACAGTAGGACTGTGAGACTAATCAGTGACCCTGCCAAGTACCCGGTGGTACAATAGGACGGAGGCTATCAGCCACTTGCCAAGCATTGGAAGTGCGATGTAAGTGTTCATAATTTGTGTGTTTTTTTTCCTATTATTATTTACTTTTTGCGTTTCATACAAATTACTTTGAATTTAATATTCAGGCTAGCGGCATGGAGGGGGCTTATCACGTGTTATCCAATGTTGAGCATCTATATCATACAGCCCATCCGGAGATGCAGGCGGCAATCCAACATGCCAAGAACCTTCTCTGCACTTCTCTGACTGTCGGAAGGCGGAGAGATCGGTCAAGGGACGTCGTCGAGCCAAGTTTTATCACAGGAGAGCTACGTCCAACCCCAGAGGACGCAGTCACACCAAGCGAGGCATCAACCTCCTGCACATATTCGTGGAGGTATAAGACGACGTCACTGCGAACCTATTGCCGACACCGGGCCTGAGGAAGAACAAGAAGAAGGTAAACATTTTTTACTTAACAAAAATATAATTTTATTTATATTTTGTGATTTTTGTTAAGTCGAATTTCTGATTTCCTAAAAAAAATGAATTACTCAGCTGAAGAAGAAGAAGAAGAAGAACCTACCACGCCCACAGCATCGTCTTCTTCACGACCACGACGGCGTCGGATTAGCTCCCGACCGCGCAACCCTACGAATCGATACACTCCTAGTTAGTTGTGTTGTATTCCGGAAATATATTTATTTTTTTCTTTCATGGTGGATTATGTGTAATGATATTTGGACTTGTTTGAATTTTTATATTTGGACAATGAATTATTGTGCTTCATTTTTCTTTCTATGACGAAATGATTGATATGAGTTTGTGGAATCGATCTCGATTAACAGGTGCGTTTTTGTAATTTTTTTCTGTATAGTGTTGTTTCTGCACAGCAAACGAATTTTCAAAATACGTTTTTTTTTTCTTAAGCAAACGTATTCTTGAAATACGTTTTACTCTACAAAATTAGGGAAAAATCGATTTGGGGCTAGAATTAGGGCAAAATCAAATTGGGGCAAAAATTAGGGTTAAAAAACGTATTTTCAGAATACGTTTTATTTTTTCAAATATTATTTTCTGCAAAAATTTGTTTTTTAAAATTGAAATATTAATTTTATTTATAAAACGTATTCCAAAAATACATTTTTTTGTTTTTTTTAACATAAAACGTAAAAACGTATTTCGGTAATACGTTTTTTCCTGTTTTAATTAATTAATTACGTTATTTACGCTTTTATTTAGGAAACCGTATTCCGTAAATACGTTTTATGAGTAAAAACGTATTCTCTAAATACGTTTATTTTTTGAAAACGTATTCTTGAAATACGTACTTTTTTATTTTTGTCGACCTGCTTNATTGACTCGTAATTTGGTCACCCAAGATGCTATCCAAATTATGTTATGTTTTTTTTTTTTTTAACTAATTTATAAATTACTTGAGAGTGATCCAATAACTTGAACAGTAAGATAATTCAATCAATCAGATTGACACAAAGAAATTTCTTTTTGTTTTTCCTAAATATAATTAGTTTTTATGAAATAAAAGCAGTTTGTGATCCATGTAGTAAATATATAACAAAGGATAATATTATAATATTCTAAATTGTAGAACTAAAGGTAAATTAATTATTTTCTACTTCATGCATATTTATAAAACAATAAACATAACAACTTTTAAAATTCAACGTTAGTTCTTGATTATGTAATTTACGTAATGACACGATACCAATATGAGTAAGTATTGAGTTGAGATGTTTTACATATTAATTAATATTTTTGTAGTATGTTATCCATAAGTTATTGAATACATATACATATATATTAATATATAAAGAGGCAATGATATTTACTTGAAATAGCAACTAAAAATCAGCAAAAAAAACTTATTTTGAAACGAGTATAATGTAATTTATTATCAGTTATGTGCACCACACGAGTTATGTACTAATTTTAAATAAACATTATTATGTAATTTTGTACAATTTAAACTTTATATAACATTTTCAATAAATTAATATAGGTAATGTATTACGGATTCCATATAGGTAATGTAGTACATATGGATTCCATATTTTTAATTTATAAATATTACTTAATTATTAATTTTTAATTTATAAATATTAAGGAATATCTTTTACCCGTGCACTGCACGAGACTCATACTAGTTGGTGTTATAACCTAAGAAAAATGATTATTGTTATTATTTTATTTTGGTAAACAAATCCTTATAATTAAATTTAAGTAATCTTTCAATAATCATTATAATCCTAAAATATTAATTTTCTATGCTTTAAAAAAAATAATAAATTATTATGGAGATTTAGTTTCTATATATGATTATATTTTTTAATTAAAGAACTATAAAAAATCAATTAATAAATTAATTATATAGATTCTCTCCAAGAAATATATAATGATAAAAGGTAAAACAAAATAAAAAATTGCAGCTACATAATTTTCCTTTTTTGTAAATAAAAGTATTAGTGGAAAACTAAGTGAGGAAGAAGGACGGAGGAGCTACCATACATAATATTGAAAAATGCTACAAGTACATACTACTAAATATACATAGAGGTGTATATAACACTCACATGGAGTGAGGTCTACTTGATTTTTTATTTTTGAGAGGACTTATTTAATGTGAGTGTTATATACACCTCTATGTACAATATTATGTACCTATGACATTTTTCCAAAGTATTTATATTAAATGCTTAACTTTTATGTATAGAGAGAGACATTTTGTACTCTCTAATTTGAAATGATAATTTTCTCGTTAAGATGTATTAGAAATTGCAAATTATGAATTTTAACATCTATGTATATATTTTTATAATCAAATTTACAAATTTCAACACCAATATGAGTTGATAAAGGATGTACACAACCAACCATGAATATATTAAGATGTATCAACCACAACGTGATCTTTGAATATCATACACTCATATTCATTCTGTATGATATGCTAAGAATCAGTTTATGAACATTTTAATATGTACTCACCGTGAAATGGAAATCAAAGTTCTAAATAGATAAATGACCTATTTAAATATATGCACATATTTTATTGAAATTTAAAATAACTCAACTAACAACGAAAGATACTTTTATATTATAAGTATGTATGATTATTGATATAAAATATGAATGGATCTAATGTCTATACCACTTCACACCATAATTTGTGTTTCCCTAATTATTAGGTCGTGTACATTAAAACAATTTAAATTTGTGATATAAAAATTTAAATATGACATATTTGAGGTTATGAACAAGGTATTAACTTTCTCTAAACTTAATTAAGAGGAAATATGACATACTTGATTGGATCCACAACAATTTTTAGATATTTTCTCTAAATAATTTGAATAAAAAACTAATTTTCCTTCACCTCCAAGGTACTAAGGGGGCGCTTGTTTATGGAATAATTTGTTCAAAATGAGTTATTTTTGTTAACCATAGTTAATTTTGAAAAATGTGGTATGATTAGTTGTTAGTGGAATTTTAAGAATGTATTAAAATAATAATTAAAATAAAATAATATTGATTTGATGTAAAAGTAGGAGATAAATGATTGAAAATGATTGAAAATGATAGGTAGTTAATTATGTGAATGGATAAATAGTGAATTAAAGTTGATGTGATGTGTAAGAATGATTTGTTTGTGTAATTTAATTATATGAATAATATTAAAGATAGTGAGGTTGAGTTAAAGTTGAGTTAGATTTTTAGTATGAATTGAATGAGAATGAAATAATTTATAAACAAGCATGCCCTAAACATTCTCCATATATTTTTCAATATAATTTTCCTTATATAAAATAATTTACAATATAATTATAAACTTAAAATACGAAAAAAAAAATCGTTTTTACTTGCCCTCCAAGCATATATCGGCCCCTATATAAAGCCCTCAAAACCACCTTTCAGCACACCCACACGCCGGAATCTCAACTACTCGCCTTAAAAATTCGTTCAAAACAGTTAAACTAAACCCTACCGTTCTCTTCCCTTTCTTCCATGGCGCCACCGGCCTCAATTTCTCTCCTCGGACCACCGGAAATCTACCCGGCAACCCCCGCCCCCTCCGCCAACGCCACCGCTCCCACAACAGCCGCCGCGAGATCGTACTTGGATGGCCTGGTAGCGAACTTGAAAGGCGTGGCGGTTGGCCGAAATCAAAACCCTCCGATGGGCCTGACAGAGAATTTCTCGCCGACCTTCTTCTCGACGGGGAACCCCTGCCTTGATTTCTTCTTTCACGTCGTCCCCGACACGCCGCCGGAGACCCTAACCGAGCACCTGAAGCTCGCGTGGAAGCAGGACCCACTGAAGGCCCTGAAGCTCGTCTGCAACCTCCGTGGGGTGCGGGGCACCGGAAAATCAGACAGAGAAGGCGGCTACACGGCGGCGCTCTGGCTGCACAAGAACCACCCCAAAACCCTAGCCCGCAACATCGACTCGCTGGCGAGTTTCGGCTATTTCAAGGACCTGCTCGAGATACTCTTCCGGGTTCTCGAAGGCCCCGACGCCCGAAAGCAGGCCAAGGAGGCGCACGAGCAGTGTAAGCAGAGGAAACAGATGAAGGAGGCGATTAAATTAAACAGGAAGGACAGGGAACATATGAAGGAGAAGAAGAGAAAGTATGGCGGAGTGAAGAGGAGCAACAAATCGAAGAAGGCGAAAACCGAGCCAATCGAGCCAATTTTCAGCCGAGAGGAGAAGAGAATCCTTTGTGCGAAAAGGGTCGTCGAGAGGTTTAACAGAGACCCCGACTTTAAATTTTTGCACAACGGCGTGTCCGACTGTTTCGCACGGTTCCTGAGGTCGGACATGGAGATGCTGAACTCGGGGCATCTCAACAAAATCAGCTTGGCCGCAAAATGGTGTCCTTCTATCGACTCCTCCTATGATCGGATCACGCTTTTGTGTGAGACAATCTCGAAAAAGGTTTTCCCAAGAGCCGAGTATCCGGAGTACGAAGGAGTGGAGGAGGCCCACTACGCTTATCGAGTGAGGGACCGTTTAAGGAAGGAAGTGCTCGTCCCTCTTCGTAAAGCCCTGGAGCTTCCGGAAGTTTACATTGGGGCCAACGATTGGCGTTCCCTCCCTTACAACAGGGTGGCCTCGGTTGCCATGAAAACGTACACGGGCTTATTCTTGAAACACGACGAGTCGAGGTTTCGAGAGTATCTGGACAAGGTAGAGAGAGGTGAAGCCAAGATTGCAGCCGGTGCCTTGCTTCCGCACGAGATAATTTCCGGCCTGGATGATGACCGCCAGGTGGCAGAGCTTCAGTGGAGAAGGATGGTGGATGACATGGCGAAGATTGGGAAGCTGAATAATTGTTTGGCAGTCTGTGATGTGTCGGGGAGCATGGACGGGCTTCCACTTGAGGTATCGGTGGCTCTCGGGCTTTTGGTGTCTGAATTGAGTGAGGAGCCTTGGAAAGGGAAAGTGATTACTTTCAGCGAAAGACCCAAGCTTCTGACAGTCAAGGGTTCCAGCCTGAAGAAGAAGACTCGGTTTGTGAGCCGCATGGAATGGGGCGGGAACACGAACTTTCAGAAGGTGTTCGACTTGCTGCTTAAGGTGGCGGTGGACGGGAAACTGAAGCCGGATCAGATGATCAAGAGACTGTTTGTTTTCAGTGACATGGAATTTGATGAGGCGTCTATGAACCCGTGGGAGACTGATTACAAAGCGATTGTGAGGAAGTTTGGGGAGAAGGGTTATGGGGAATGTGTGCCGGAGATTGTGTTTTGGAACTTGAGGGACTCACGGGCCACGCCGGTGCCGGCAAACCAGTCGGGGGTGGCGCTCGTGAGTGGGTTCTCGAAGAATCTGATGAAGTTGTTTTTGGAGGGAGGTGGGGTTATAGATCCTGTTGTGGTCATGGAGGCTGCCATTGCAGGGGAGGAGTATCAGAAGCTTGTGGTGGTAGACTGATTCAATAGATAGGTCGTGTTTTGTGAATGATCTGGAAAAAGTTTCTTGGTTAAATGAGCTTTTGTGGCTTTGGTGATCAATAATAGAGAAAAAGGGCTTTTGGAAAATGTTGGAATTAGTCATTCATTAAGTTTTGATGAGTTTTTTTGTCTATAATTCATTGTTAT